CTATATAGCTTTGTTTTTAGTTAGTTTTATTTTTATATTTTCTTTTTATTTTTTTTTTGTAAATTGTAAAGTTCGAATAAATTTAATAAAGATAAAGGCTACTATGCCACGTTTGCCTGGTTTTTGACCAGTGATACTTAGGGGTTGTACTGTACCAATAACAAAACCTATGACATTTTTAGTTAAAGTTTCTTGTTTAGAAGAATTATGTGGGTTAATAATATTATCAGGTTTCTTAAGTTTTTCTAATTCTTCTTCCTCATATCTCATTGCAATAGCTTTTGTAATTTTATGCATTCCTGATAAATGTGTTTTCATTGAACTTGGAGAACCACACCATGCAAGCATTTTTTCACAACCATTAATCTGACAAATAGTTTTAGTATTATCATCATTAAATTGAAAAAATTTCCAAACCCAGCTAGTTTTAGGTTTCGTGATTTTAGATGGAGGCTTTCTTTCTTTCATTAATAAAGACTGTTTATTGACTTCTACTTCATCATTAATAATTATATTAAGGTCTGATATAGATGCATCAGATATTGTGTTATCATTAATTTCTTGTATTGTTATAAAACTTTTCTCTAATAAAATTTCTGATTCATATAAATAACTAGAATCATTTTCACTTTCATCTGCAATTTCTTGTATTGAACTTCTTTCTTTTGCTGCTGCTTCTTCTGCTTCTTTGAGTATTTGCTTATGTTTATTTCTTGTAGTGGTCGCCATTTTTAATAGTTTAAAATGGGTAACTATTTATGTGAAAGTTTAATATTTTATTTAATATTTATTAATTAATAAATTAGTAAATTATATAATATAATATTAATGATGGTATTGTTACCAGTAAATTTGGTAAACTAATGATTAAATATATTGTTTTGATATTATAATTATATAAGGATTAATGAAAATTGATGAGGCTGTTCGTTGGGTACAGAAAGAATAATTAATAATAATTATTAGAAAAATCTAGGACGATTTTCTTGTAATTTTAACAAAGAGCAAAGTGTCTATATATAAAAAAATTCCATCTCTTTTTCAATAAATATCCAGAAGTAAAATCTAATCTCAAATCTATTCTAATGTATCACAGTTTTTAATTAATTATTAATTAATTTTGTGCAATAGCAGTTATTTTCATTGTCAAATCAAATAAAGTAAATTAATACCATTGAATTAATCAACTCAATAATATTTATAATCATTATAAAGAAATCCATATAAAGAAAATAAATATATAAATAATAATTTATTAAATAATCATATAATAACTAAAATAAGAAATTAAATAAAATAAATCCGATCATAACACATTGATCATTCAACCAAAATTTGCTTTGGAATATCGGCAATTTCATTGTATATCGGATTTAGCTAAATTTGCGTAATAGTAAAATAATCAGCCAAATCACATGGTTAATTTTAAAGAAACTAATGGCAATGATCTGCAACAATTACAATAGATTCGATTTTTTTATGCGATTTTCGATTAATCGATTTTGAATCAAGTTTCGATTAATTCGATTATCGCAGATTCGATTCCCATCCCTATACCAATTACCAGTCATACTTCTTGTGATACAAACAAAATTTAATGTACAAGCTCAATCATCTTACTTTTAAGATGGATTATCACAATATTAATTTTTCAATAAAAATTATTGTGCAGATGGCACATAATTTATTGAATCTTACTGTGTGATAAAGTGATATATATAGTTATATTATTATAATATACTTTAAGAGGAAAGAAATGTGTAATATATACTGAAATCACAAAAGGTTCTGGTTCTGATAATTTCACTGAAGAGTAGTATGTCTAACAAACTGTAGCAGCAAAAGACTAAGAAGTCTAAGCTTATATCAGAGAAAATAATTTTGACTGTCATGACCAGATATATACTACATAATAAGATCAATATTCAAGAAATAGTCATATATAATATTCTCTCCACCATGTTACAACTTGATATTTTTACAAACCTAGAAAAATGAGGTCAAATTATTGCATTCAAAGTCAAGATGTAAAAGAAGTATTTGATTGTGACTTTGTCTATAAATTTTAACAAGTGGGCTTTGCTAAATTGGAACAATAGAGTTTGAACAGTTTCATTTAAAAAAATGTCTGTACAATGGTTCCTTACATCCTGAATTCTGAAATAATATAAAGAATGTGAGACTGTTGTTATGAATACAGTCAACTCTCTTTATAGTCACACATTTGGGACAGTCCATATTTAGTGATTATAAAGAGATGTGACTATATAAAAAATTTCTTATATTAGTATATCATAATTCCAGCCAAAAATTAACATAATTTTGGTTAGAATTATACTTAAATCTTTATTGTATCATAACTCTGCCAATATTAATAATTGTAGAAAGATGATCTTACCAGGACCCCGAATAATATATATAAAGGTAGGTTTTGAGTTTGCTTAACTAACATATAAAAATTTATCCTATGTGAGATTTATTATTGCTTATTTGATAACATAATTTTTAAATAGTCAGATATAATTATGCGTAGCAGAGTATTAAATTATTAATAGTCAGATATATATTTGCGTAGCAGGATAGATTTTTTTAATATATATATATAATATAATATATATTTACATTTTTCACATTAAAAAAATTTAATAAAATATGTAAACAAAGTTATAAACATGTTTGTGTAAAAAAAATTTACTATTTTTAATACAAAGAATAAGTTAATTGTATACGTAATACAGGAATCATTTTTAGACGTGATTGTGTAATGTGTTTTGATAAAACAAATACGCGTCCACGTAACATTAAAATTATAAATCATATACGCGTCTGTGTAACAGTAAAAAATATATATTGAAAATGAGAGCAACGGGTAGATGGGAAGGGAAAAATGTGGTTTTCTGTTTTTTTATAATTTTACACTATAATTTTTGTAATAATCAGTAAAAGTTATTTCATTTTTACTTAGAAAATTTTTTAAAAATATTTTTTTTGACAAATTTTACAGTAAATTTTAAAAATAAAAATTCCGCGTATTGGTGGCGTTACAAAAAACATGAATAAATCCATAAATATCTATTCA